TTTTGTTTTTTTTTTGAGATAGCGTTTCTCTGTGTAGCCCTGGCTGTCCTGGAACTCACTCTGTAGACCAGGCTGGCCTCAAAATCAGAAATCTTTCTGTCTCTGCCTCCCATGTGCAGAGATTAAAGGCATGCCCCTTTATCTCAGCACTCCTCCATAAAACTTTTTTTCAAGATTATATAATTACATCATTTCCCCACTGCCTTTTAAGGCTCCCATGTGCAATCCTCCTCCCCCATTTCTTTCAAATTTACGACCTCTTTTTCTTTGTTGTTACATATATTGTGTATATACATATATATTCGGTCTGCGTAACGTTATTCGTATGTACTTATTTTCAGGGTTGATCATTTGGTGTTGGATAACCAATTGTTGTGCTCTTTCTTGTTTTGGTGTTTTGAGACAGGGTTTGTCTGTAGCTTTGGGGACTGTGCTCTTTCTTGTTTTGGTGTTTTGAGACAGGGTTTGTCTGTAGCTTTGGGGACTGTGCTCTTTCTTGAGGAAGACGACTTCTGCTCTCAGCATTCCTTTGTAGCTGACACTTCTTTTTCTATACCTGAGGCCTCATGAGCTCTGCCCCTTCCTCATTAGCAGGTCTACTGGTATCATCTTTGTTCAGACACATTTTTATTTATTTATCAAGATTTATTTTTGCATTTTATGTATTTGAGTGCTCTGTCTGCATGTATGCCTGCATGACAGAAGAGAGCATTGGATCCCATTATAGTGGTTGCTGGGAATTGAACCTGGGACCTCTGGAAGAGCATCCAGTGCTCTTAAGCTCTGAGCCATCTCTCCAGACACATATTTTTAAAACACACCTATTTGATCATATTAGACGAACTATTACAGTAATGGAATTTTATTAAAAGTCATGTTTATACATGTGTGTCTAAGTGTATGTATGTGCGCCATGAGCCCGTAGGGGCCTGAGGAGAGAAGGTGTTGGATCTCCCAGAATTGGGTTACAGAGTGCTGTAGACTGCCACGTGGGTACTGGGAAGCAAATCCAGGTCCTCTGTAACAGAAATGTGTAGTGATATATTATTTATGATTTATTAAAGCTTGCCTGAGGATTCAGAAAGCAAAGTCAGTCATAGATGCCAGGCATGCACCTTTAATCCTAGCAGCCAGAAGCTAGGAGGGGGTAGAACACACCTTTAATCCTAGGACTCAGGATAAGAGGTAGATGGATCTTTCTGAGTTCAAGGTCACCCAGATCTACGCAGGAATGAATCAGTCTAAAAGAGTAACAGATTACATGCCTTTAGACACTAAAGGGGTATAAAAGATAGAAGTAGGTTCTTCAGTAGTCAGCACGAGGCAGTCAGTCCCCAGCCATGCTGAGGAGAGCTTGTGGGCCAGCCCTTTCATCCTGAGCTAGAGGTAGCAAGGTAGTGGCCCCTTGCTTTGCTTTTCTGATCTTTAGCTTGAAGCTTAAACCCCAATATTGGCCTCTGGGTCTTTTATTTTTTTGTATTACAGAAATGTTCTTAAGTGTTGAGCCATCTCTCAGCTCCCGGAATGTAATTTTCTTATCTAAATACAGACATAGAAAAACTGAATCATCTTATTTCTAGAATCAAATATAGTTACTCTTTATTTTTTGGAAGGATTTATTTGGGCTCACATAGAATTAAATTAAATTAGTCTTTTAAATGCCAAACAATATTCTGTTATGTAGATTTACTATAAGTTCTTTTTTATTTGCCTAATTTTGAATACTTAGTTTGCTTCTATAAAAATGCTACAGCCAACATATATATGATCAATATTTGAGCTTTTTATTTTTCTAAATTTTTAAGAAAAGAGGTCCTAATCTTTTTTTTTGCATTTTAAAAAAGGATTTTTATTGAAACTTGTACACGTATGTGGGTCTTGCACATGAATACCTGTGCTCTCAGAGGTGCCCTCAGGAGTCAAGGGCAGTTGTAAGCACTGGGTGGGTGCTGGGAACCCAACTCTGGCCCTCTGTGAGAGCCTTATTGCTCTACTGACCATGTCTACAGACCCTAGCCTTTCCATTTTATATTACTTCTACCTGTAACCCCTGCCCTGCAGTGTGATATACCAGAAAATGTTGAATAATTAAAGAAACCATCCAACACAGACCCAGAAAGATTTGTAGATGCATTCTGTCCCTGAAGCCCAGGCTGGGCCTGGAATTCACCATGTAGCTTGGGCTAGCCTCCAACTTGTGACAATCCTCCTGTCTCAGCCTCAGAAGTGCTGGGGATTATAGACATGGGCTACTATGTCCAGCGGTCTTATCTGCCATGGAAAGCTTCTCACTTTGCTCAGTTGATAAATGTTTACCCCAGTGCTGCATAAAACTGGGTGTGAGGGGCTGGGGAGATGCTCAGCTGTTACACGCAGTGCTGCTCTTGCCAAGGAGCCGAGTTCGGATCCCAGCACCCACAGCTACAGCCAGACATCTCACAGCCACCACAGCTCCAGCTCCAGGGGATCCCACACCCTCTTTTGCCCTCTAAGAACGGCTGTACCCCACAGAGAGATACACAATTCAAAATGTAAAACAAAACTAAAAAAAAAGTTATTTTGAAACAAAACAAAACTACCACCACTAGAGCAACTGTACCTGCCCATAGACCTGTAATCTCAGCACTTGGGCTGGTGGAGACAGGAAGATCAGAAGTTTAAACCTTTTTGATTTATTTATTTTATTGTTGTTTTTATGTGTATGACTGCTTTGTCTACATGTATGTATATGCACCACATGTGTGCCTTGTAATTATGGAGGTCAGAAGAGGGTATCAGTTCCCCTAGGACTGGTGTTACAGGTGGTTGTGAGCTTCTATGCAGGTGCTGGGAATCGAACCTGGGTCCTCTGGAAGAGCAGCAGGTGTTCTTAACTGCTGAGCAGGCTCTCGAGTCCAGGACCAGAAGCCTAAAGATTTTTGTTTTGTTTTTGAGACAGGGTTTCTCTATGCAGTCCTGGTTGTCCTGGAACTCACTCCATAGACCAGGGTGGTGTTGAACTCACAGAGATCCACCTGCCCCTGCCTCCCAAGTGTTGGGATTAAAGGCTTGTCCCCACCATCGCCCAGCCAGGATCAGAAGTTTAAAGTCATCCCTTGCTACATAGTGAGTTTAAGGCCAGCCCCGACTACCTGAGACCTGTCTTGCAACAACCTTCCCTTCCTCCAACTGATTAGTAGTATAGGTTGGACTCCTGATCTTCCTGGTCTTTCCTCCCCAGTGTTGGGACTGTAGGTACTTATTATCATATAGAGTTTGTGCTTCTGCGATGCTAGGAATGGAGGCCAGGGCCTCATGCTCGAAAGGTAAGCACTCTAGCAACTGAGCTGTAACTGTGGCCTCTTTCCTTTTTTGAAGACAGGGTCTCATAAGGTAGTCTCGTTGGCCTTGAATTCCAGAGCCTCCCCTGTGATCACAGGGAGTGCCCCATCCTGAAGTAACTGCATCTTTAAACTGGAAGTTGGAAGTGTAGGGAGGGAAACGGCTTCTTGGACTTCACTCCTGGCAATTTGAGAATGGCTTATGTTTTCACAGTTCAAGTCAATGATATACTAGAGGTTCTGAGGCATCTGGGTTTAACACCCGACTTAAAATAGTACTACTAATTATGTCATGGTGTGCATTATGTGAACTCGGACACAGACAACATCTTTAAGCCATAGTTACAGCCTACAAGGCACAATAACAGTGCTGTTATTATATTATGGAATTGCTAGAAGAATCAAATGTGATAACACATGGAAAGTGCAAAGGCTAATGCCTACACATACATGTAATTGTATGTACATAGAACTTAATTACAGTAGCATATACTTAGCCAGAAGACAAATGGCATTACTACCTAAAGGTAGTTATCAAACTAATTTTTTTGAGAAATTCGAGTGTCAAATGAACATTTTTTTGCCTAATCATTTTATGTAAGAACACAGTTGGAGAAAAGTAAGTCAGAGGGTGGAATGTGTAAGAGTTTGTACCGGAATAGCACTGACTGGAGGGGCAGAATGCAGACAGGCTACCCTGGGGGTATTTCCTGCCCGGGGATGGAGATTAATCTGTACCAAGTAGAGGGATATGCTGAGAGAACATTCTATCCCTCATGTGGCACTCAGAATAAACTGTTTTATAGAAATGTCACTTGAGCCGGGCGTTGGTGGCGCACACCTTTAATCCCAGCACTCGGGAGGCAGAGGCAGGCGGATCTCTGTGAGTTCGAGACCAGCCTGGACTACCAAGCGAGTTCCAGGACAGCCTCCAAAGCCACAGAGAAACCCTGTCTCGAAAAAACCAAAAAAAAAAAAAAAAAAAAAAAAAAAAAAGAAATGTCACTTGATTTCAGCACAAAGGTCAAAAATGATATTTTATAAGGCCTGTCATGAGAAATTGATACTCATACTTCGCACCCCTGGTATACTGTGCGGCGTTAAAGAGCATCTCCACACAAGTTTCCTTTGGTGACTGCGACATCCATATTAGTAGGCAGGCCAGAATATCCAAATCCCCTCTTCGGTGATTGTGACTCCAGAAACAAGGGCCTTGCACAAGTTTACGGAGCCGGAACTAACACAAGACACCATCTCCGATGCTTACTGCTCTATAACAAGCTCATCTATCCTTTTATACATCCACTGATCCAAGAAGCAGTCACTGACCTCCAGGATAAGAGTAAACTTTAACTTCATGCCAGTCTCCATAACCCTTTATAAGCTGTCTGGAAGAGAAAGAGAGAAGCCATCAGATACGTTTCTAAGAAAACTGGGAATGCTCGTATAGGAGGAGACCACAGCACAATGCCAGGTCTGCGTGGCCATTAGCGTGGACACTGGGCTCCAGTGCCCAGGAGCCGAGGGCCGGCGACCCGCGGGCTGCGGGGATCCGCGCTCCTCCTTAACCCGCGCCAGGAGGCGGTGGCCGCGGCGGCGGGAGGGGGAGGGGCGCGGAGCGCCGCGCCGAGGCCGGGGAGGAGCCGGGGCCTGCAGCGGAGCCGAGCCGAGCCCGAGCCGAGCCCCGACGCGCTCCGTCCGCCTGCCGGCTCCCGGGAACCCCGACCGGCCAGAGCCTCGGTGGTGGCAGCGCGGGGAGCCCCACGCGCGGGGAAGCGCGGCGGACGGGGCACGCGATTGGGGAGGCGCTGCCGCCCGGCAGCGGGTGACGGGAACCGGGACCGCGGCCTCCGGGACCCTGCTGCCCAGGCCGGCCGGGCGGGAGCGGGAGTGCGTGGACCCCACCCTCGGGGCACCGGGCGCCGGGACCTGCTCCCTCTCCCGTGGGAGGGAGGACCCTCCGCATTCCCGGGACAGCCAGAGGAGATCGCCGCAGGGCGCGCGCTGTCCCTCCCACGCTGGCTCTGGAGGAGACCCCCAGAAGTCGGGAAGGGTCGTGGGACCTGAAGGACCCGGAGTGAGACCGCCCCCACTCCTCAGCGCACTCCAGACAGTTCGGGACTTTGGAGGCAGAGAAAGGGAGCCATGTCTGTGGAGTAGGCATCCCACATCCCACCCAGCACTCACCGCGGAGAGGCGTCCTGACACGCACAAGCCAGGACCCTCCAGGGAACCCGCCGCAGTCGGTTCCAGTTTGCTGGAGAGTGGAAGACTTCGCCCCTCAACTTCGTGCGCCCAAGCAGTGGACCCGGGCAGAGCCCCTCCGTTCAGATCTCCAGCAGACGGAAAGAGCCCTCAACCCCCGAAAGATCCAGTTTGGGGGGAGGGGGATTCCCCCAAAGGGGAGGAGACAACTCCTGGTTGGGGGAGGCTCCTCCCCTCCTCCCTAGGGTAGCAGGCAGGGTGTGGGGGGTGTGCCACCTGCCCCAGGTAGGTCCTCCCTCTCCCCCTCCTCCTCCTCCGGCTCCTCTTCCTCCCTCGGGGGACTCAGTTCCCCGCTCCGGTTAGGGAGGCTCCGCCGGGCACTGCAAGAATCTCAGAGGATGAGACCTGTCACCTGCCTGTGAAGAGGGGAATCCCTGCAACCTCAAACTTCTGTAGCAGGTGGTTTCCTCCGGTGACTGGGGGAACCTCGGAGGCAGGTTAGTGCTTTTGTGCATTTCCTCTCTGTGGTCTTTAGGCACCAGTAGGTATGGGGAGCTGAAATGGTGGATCTTGGGGTTCATTCCTGTGGAAGGTAGAGTCCCCTGGGAAATGTCTTCTGATGGCGCTTCTTTCTGCATTGGAAGCCACATGTTGCTGCAGAGACTGAGAACTGGGCTTTTTAGAGACCAAAGGGATGGGTCATTTGCAGTCCTTAGAGAAGAGACAACAGGTGCGTTTTCAGGACGGCATGGTTACTGTTAGTAATGCAGGACACAGCACAGCCAGAATCCCACAGCGAGCTCCATCCTTTGGTGGTGTCCTCTGGCGAGTGGACCTTCCGGAAAGTGATGGGGGCACCTTGTGTCTTTCCAGGGTTTCCCTAAGGCAGATTAACGGCCAGCAGAGGTCTTCCAGTCTAGTACAGTGACTGCTCGCCTGACTGTCAATCTGTCCCCACCCACTCTCTCTGTCTTGGATACCAGGAGGCCCTTCTGACATCCCTGCTTCAGGCTGGATATCTGCCATCCAAAGGGAAACGTGAATCCACATGCCCTGAGGTGAGAAAAAACTGACTAGGGTAGTGTACACTAGTGAGCTGAAATCTTCCCAGATACGGGTCCTGACCTTGGCTGACAGTTCCCAGAAAAATGAGATTGTGTCTCGGATGCAGACAGGGTTTCCTAGCCCCTGCACACCTGGCCTGCATGATCTGGCCACCGGGGAGGTCTGACCTCTGCAGAATCCTTTTTAGCGTTTTCTTCCAGAACATCTACTGGTCTTAACATTGCTCTTCCTGTTCTCTTACTTAGTTCTGGGTCCCAGGAACCTTGTGGTGAAAATTTTCATCCTAACCTTGGGGAACCATCAAAATCTAGAATTTTTAGAAAAAGCAGGACAAAAGGCACCAAGAAAATTTCCTGGTTGAGCCTGGGCTGTATCTGTAGCGGAGCTCTGAGTTTTCACAAGAGGTCACTACTTGCGGGCCTGCTTTCTGGTCTCGTCATTGGACCATGCCTCATGTTCTGTATGGGGCTTCTTCCCCTTGGGTTTTCAGTGTCTGTTTCCCTAGAGGGGCCGTGAGCAGATTGCCCGAGTCTCTTTGGGTCCCCTCCATCCTGGGGGTTTCTGTAGTGGTGGTGTGTGAAACGGGGCTGTAGTCTACGGGTTCGATGGCTGTGCTGGAGAATGATGTACACATGCTCTCAATGGAGATGAAGGCGGCTTGGTGTCTGTGTTTTGATCATGTACGTGGAGAAGGGTGCACCTGTGTTTCCAGAGTGTGCTCTCTGATCCCTTAGGGTCATTTCTGGCAGGCATGTAGAAGCAGGTCGCCCTCGGCAAGGACCTAGAAGAGGTGAAGGTGCAGATGACCAGTTGACAGGGAAATTTAGCGGTCCCCCTCTGCCACTAGTGGGAATTCTCGCGGCCCCCTCCTGGCAGTCATATCTGGCAGCAGGGCAGCCCTTTTGCAGGCTGGGCCTGTTTCATCATGGATACCTCCAGTCTCAAAAAAGATGAGGATCCTTTACTTCCGTGTCTAGAATCGCCTCTCCCACTTTTAAAAAAGAGATGTTTCTGGTATAGCAGGGTTTCTTACACAGCACTTTGCCAGATGCTGGAGTGCAACTTCTAGATGGCTCTGTGTGAACTGTCCCATAGCTGCTCCAGGCAGACCACTCATTCAACTGGATCTGTTGAGACAGGAATCAGTGTGGGGCTGGTCGGATTAACTATGATTTGGAGTGTTCTGTTTCCTGGACTGTATCTTATAACTGCATCTAAATCCCCTTGAAAGACAGGTGATGATATTTCCTCCACCCCTTCATCCTTGGAGGTTTCTCGATCTTTCGTTAATCAGTACTGGGTTGCTACAAACCCAAAGGAGATGTTTGAAATGCAGACGTCCTGACAGCCTGCAGACTTGCTTTAGACTGTTGCACCTGCGCGACCATTGCACCTTTGATGTTTCTAACGCTGCCGCTACGATATGCTATCATTTTTGACATTCTCTTTTCTTTGTCTTAAAGGCTATGCATTTTATGTATAGAAGTACTTCCTCCGCATGTATGCACACCAGAGAAAAGAATCATCCCATGAGGCTACAGTTACAGATAGATGTGAGTCACCATGTTGGTGCTGGGGATTGAACTCAGGCTTTCTGGAAAAGCAGCCACTGTTCTTAACTGTTGAGCCATCTCTCCAACCCATCTTGTCCTCTTTTCATTAAACACCTCAGTGTTTGGTGCTGACCTTTGGGCTGCACATGCATGTTAAGTACTCTGAGCCATACATATAGCCTCCTAATACTCTTTATTTTTCTTCATTCAAAAACAAAGGTTCACTTACTAAGTGCCTTAGGCATATTAAGAAATAGTAGATAATCTTCACAGCAACTCTTGTAGGAATAGTTAATCTTTATTTAAAATAATTTTAACCTTGGCTGTGGTGGCAACACACATTAATTCCAGCACTGGAGGCAGAGGCAGGCAGATCTCTCAGTTTGAGGACATCCTGGTCGACAGAGTGAGTTCCAGGACATCAGTGTAAAAAGATTTTAAAAAAAAACTTTTTAGGTGTGTGTGTGTGTGTGTGTGTGTGTGTGTGTGTGTGAGAGAGAGAGAGAGAGAGAGAGAGAGAGAGAGAGAGAGAGAGAGAGAGAGAGAGAGAGAGAGAGAGAGAGAGAGAGTCGCACTTTGTATTGGTGACTGGCCATGAGCTTACTATGCAGCTTAGGCTGCCTCAAACTCATGGCAATCCTCCTGCTTCAGCCCTTCCAGAATGTTAGATGTACAAGCCTGAGTCACTATATCTAACTTTTTAGAATTTTTCTTTTATTTTACAGAGCTAGAAATTAAGATACAGACAAGCTAAATGACTTGTCTATCAGAGCTGGACTTGAAACCCAGGCAGCACGGTTGATCATGAGATACACTCCACCACTACGCTGTTAGCTTTGGCATTATGTACAGCTCAGGAAGTCATCCTTCCTGGATGCCTGACTTGGGTCCCACATGGAGGACAGTTGCCAGCTCTTTGGGTGAGATGGGCAGTAAACAGTGCAGCTCCTTGTGGCTGCTACGGCCTGCACCTCAGGCCATTCATTGCCCAGGAAGACTTTCTGCGAGCCTTTGTTTCTGCCTTCCCCAGCTCTGTAGTCTCTAGCTGTCCCGTGGATGCGATGGAGTCTGCCCTTTGGCTGCCTTTCCCAGATTCGGTGTGTATTTCCTTTCAGTCTTCCAGCATGCCGAGAAGAATGTGGCCTGACTCAGGTTCTGCCTAAGCCCGGTGGCACGAGGCCCACCTGGAGAGAGGTCTGGGTAATGAGGCTGGCCGGCCTGAGAGATGGAACCACCTCTTGTTTGCTTTTCTAATAATATCCCTGGACATTAGCCTTGTGCCATTATTTTGGGGAGTGTGGAATGTGTGGCAGCTACAAGCCCATTAGCTTCATTCCTGTCCCTCCAGGGATGAAGCCCTGGTTGGAGCTATGACTTCATTTCTTTTACTGGAGGGGGAAACTGAGGCATTAAGACTTCATCAGGCAGTGAGGGATGGCTAGGGGCACTTAGTGAGTCAGTGTTGGGGTTGGGAATGGGACAGAGGAAGCTCAGTCTCACTGCCCTTTGCGGATGGGGAAGTAGGGAGTAAGGAAGTATGGGCCAGGCTGAAGAGCAGGGTGCTGGGAGACAGATCAGGGAAGACCAGGCCCTGTGAGCTCTCTGGAGTTTATGCTGGAGTGTATCCTGAGAGCTGAAGTTTGCATTCGGAGGGAGGGTAGTGGAGAAAGGTGTCTAACCTCAGGGTTCCACTCTGTGGGAAAGGGAGAGAAGGCCGCAGGGTCCCTGGAAAGAGGCAGGGAGTGTTTCCCTGGAAGGCAGGCATGTGTTAAATGGGCTGTGTAAGCCTCTACATACTTTGAATCCACCCTCGTGCTCCAGGTTGCCATTGAGAGAATTTCAGAGGAAATAACTGAAAATTTCTGGCTCTATAGATGAGATTTCCCAGGTTATTTAGACCCAGGGAAGCTGTTGCAGGAGGATTGCTTGAATCCAGGACTTTGAGACCATTGTGGACAACAGACTCAATACACACACACACACACACACACACACCCTGGTTGAGAAGGGCAGGGGCTGACTAGGGAACAAGGTGCTATCTTTCTAGGGATGAACTTGGTCCTTGTGAATTTGCTAACTGGCCTTCCACTGTTGGTCGTGAGAACCCAGCTGTGAACAGACACTGCCCGAGCTCCCTGCTGTAGTCCAGAGGCTGGGATGTTTTGACACAGCAAAAGGCTACAAGGTGTGTGGCTTCCTGGAGTGATGACATGCTCCTATTGTTTCCCAAGTTCCCAAGGTCTGGGGAGAGGTGGTGACTTTAGGATGGGAGGGTTGGCGCTGGTCAGAGGCTAAGGCTGAACGGAAAAGCTTTCTTGGTACAAGTTACAAACATGACCCCGTTGTTTTTCTCTGCTCAAACAACTCTTGGGGTGCAGTTAGATCTCTTGCTGCCTAGACCCCCGAGGCACGGATGTTCTCTTTAGCCCTGTGGACTAGTTGTGTTGCTGGTTGGGAACACTGGGTCAGGCTGATTGCAAGGGTGGGACCTGGTCAGGAGGGGAGAGAATGGGAATTCTGACCTGTAGGGGAAAGGGCAAGTATCTGTGGTGAAACTACAGTTTAGGCTGAAAAAAGTGAGAGTCGGACAGGTATGTGGTGTGTTGGGGTTAAGACAGAGGGTAGGGGTCCTGCTTGAGACAGAGTTTGGGCTTGCCAAGTGTGTGAATCTGTGCATGCTTACCTGTGTCTGGTCTGGTGGTGCCCCTTTCGGCTATGGATTGAGAGAGACACCCCCCGCAGAACAGGGTTCTCACCAGCGTATAAGTTCTGAGGAGTAGCCTTGGCTGGTGCAGAGCTCCGTCCTGCTGTGACTGAGCAAGACATGCTAGCTGGAATCTGGCAGCCGTGCAGGCACAGGCCTGTCAGACAGTAAGTGCTTAGGGGCTCGCTGGCTTCAGCTCCAAGGAAGTGCCAAACGGCTACGTAGAGGTTCCTGTCAGCTTTTCTAGACCCTGCAATACAGCTACTAGTCCCCCATTCTTCACCTTCCTCCAGCAACATGTCACTAGCTACACCTCCCTGGCGGTGGAGAGCCTAGGCGGTTTGGTTGGCGGCAGCGCCGGCAAACATCAGGCGTGGGCGGAATCGTAGCTCTAGGAGTTTGCATGGAGGTGCAGCCAGTCTGCGTGCCTGGCTGGGAAGGAAGGAGGGAGGAGAAGGGCGGGGAAGGGGAGCCAGCTCTTAGCCCCACGGAGGCTATTTTTAGCCAGGCTATCTGATTGTTACCGGTGTGCACACAGCTGGGTGTCTCCCCGGCTCGGTGAAGCCCAGCAGGCCTGGGAGGTGGGAGGGCCTTGCTGCTGACGACTCCTTCCTGATGCTGGTGTCTGTGGGCGGAGCCTGCCAGGGGGAGCTTTCAAGGTGTGAGGGTAGCTGTGGACTCAGTAGCTGCTGCTGCTGTGTGACTTTGTTTGGTAATGTATGCCGTGCGTATGTTGTTTTTTGGTTTTTTTTTTTTTTTTTGGTTTTTCGAGACAGGGTTTCTCTGTGGCTTTCGAGGCTGTCCTGGAACTCACTCTGTAGACCAGGCTGGCCTTGAACTCACAGAGATCCGCCTGCCTCTGCCTCCCGAGTGCTGGGATTAAAGGCGTGCGCCACCAACGCCCGGCTCCGTGCGTATGTTGTGATCCCTAGGTGTGCGCCACCATCCCCGTGGCAGTCTTAGATCTTGGTGCTGCTGGTTGTCATCTTTGGTTATGTATTCACTTATTGTGGCGTTGGAGACAGAACCCAGGGTCTCAAACAAGTGCTCTACACCGAGCCGCATGCGCCTTCAGCCCCCCTTTTGTTTTTTAATTTCTTTTCTTTTTTATGGATGAGTGTTTTGCATACATCTATGTATGTGTGTCGTGTGTGTGTGTGTGTGTGTGTGTGTGTGTGTGTGTGTGTGTGTGTGTCTCATGCTCTAGGAGGCCAGAAGAGGGTGTTGGGTCCCTGGGATGGGCGTTTGTAGATGATTGTCAGTGTGGTGAATGAAACCCAAATTCTCTACAAGAGCAACAAGTGCTCTAAACTGCGGAGCTATCTCTTGCCCTTCTCCTTTTCACTTTTTATTTTGAGACAGGCTCCCTCTGAATTGCCTAGACTGCCTATGGACTCGCTGTGTAGCTCAGGCAGGCCTTGAACTTGTGATCCTGTTGCCTCACCCTCCGGAGCAGTTGAGGTGACAGTGCCCCTCAGCTGTTAGAACCTGCACTTGGGACATGGCTAATCTGCCTTCTAATAGCCATGTGTGTGGCCAAAGGCTGCGTGCTGCTTGTTTAGTAAGAAACGCCGTGGAGAGTGTTGACGTGTGCTTCATTGGTATATGCTTGTGTGTGCTGACTGTCTCTGTATGTGCTATTGTTATGTGCTGGTGGATGCTATATATAAACATACAGTGTCATGTAATTGCAGAATAGACTTCAGCTAATTTTACCTGCTGCCTAAGTGGGGTTGATTTTTTTAAAAACTTATATAGAGTTTAAAGATATTGTGTTGTGGGGCTATAAGGAGAATTGAGTTCAGTTTTTGTGGGATATGATATCTGATCCTGCATGAGGGGAGAGGCCTTGTGGTTACGTTCTCTATTAAGATGCGGGGTGTGAGCCGGGCATTGGTGGCACACGTCTTTAATCCCAGCACTCGGGAGGCAGAAGCAGACGGATCTCTGTGAGTTCGAGGTCAGCCTGGTCTACAAGAGCTAGTTCCAGGACAGCCTTCAAAGCCACAAAGAAATCTTGTCTCAAAAAAAAAAATGTGGGGTGTGAAACACGCTATCATCTGGTGGATGACTGGTGGTACTTGCACTTGGGATCATGGGTCAGCTCAGGAGAGGGTTCTCCAGTGGGAATTAAAACGGGAACAAACTACTTGCCTTATACATTGGACATAGAGTCATTCTTGCCCTGGTAAACTGGAAACTCAGGCTCCCCCCCCCGCTTTGTCCTCTTCTCTGCAGAACCCAGAAGTACGATGGCCTCTGACCTCGAGAGCAGCCTCACCTCCATAGATTGGCTGCCCCAGCTCACTCTCCGAGCTACTATTGAGAAGCTTGGGAGTGCTTCTCAGGCTGGGCCTCCAGGGGGCAGCAGAAAGTGTTCCCCAGGCTCTCCCACGGATCCTAATGCCACCCTCAGCAAAGATGAGGCAGCAGTCCACCAAGATGGCAAGCCACGATACAGCTATGCCACTCTCATCACCTATGCCATCAACTCTTCTCCAGCTAAGAAGATGACCCTCAGTGAAATTTATCGCTGGATCTGCGATAACTTCCCTTATTACAAGAATGCTGGCATTGGTTGGAAGGTGAGACTGTTTCTATAGCAACCTTCTCTACTTTGTTTCTTTCTATAACCTGGTCTGGGTCATTCTGACTGGTCTCAGGGATGTATAAACTCAAGGTCTCTTATCGTCTACTCCTACTTTTATTTTCTTTAACATTAATCAACTTCATAAACTTGATCATGGAAACACTAGTGATGCCAAGCCATTAAGTATAGCTATGGGATAGCAGGATGCTGTTGGCTACCACACTCTCTTACTTATTGTCTAGTTCCCCCGAATGGGCAGTCTTTGATTTCATGTCCTTCTGCCACTCTGCTACGTTCAAGTCATTGAACAAGGCAAGGCATGACTCCTACTTTGGTAGGAAACTCATTAAATTTCTATAGCTTCCTTGTCATCATCTTTTGAAGCATCGTATATACTAAGAAAAAAAGAATAACCAGGTCCTTTACCAATAGCTGGTTCATTAAGCATGCAAGGAGGTCCTCAGACAGAGATAAGGGAAATCCTCTTTGACGAGGAGAAAGACGGTTGATATTAAACTATATATTTTTTAGCCTGGTTTAGTCACATATGTCTTTAATCCCACCACTTTGGAAGCATAGGTAGGTGGATCTGAATTCAAGGCCAGCCTGGTCTACTAGCAAATTCCAGTCCAGCCAGGGGTATGTAGTGAGACCCTCCCCCAACCAAAAAAGAAAAAGATGGAGGAGGAGGAAAGGAAGGAGGAGGAGGAAGAACCCCAACAACAACAAAACCCCCAAAGATTTACTTATTTTGTGACAATGTCTCACGTGTCTCGGGGCTGGCCCGGCTTGGAACTCCTGATGCCGCTGAAGCTGATCTTGAACGACTGACCCTCCTGTCTTGACCTCCCGATATTGGGCTGACAGGCATGTACCACCATTGCTTGTAATCATTTGGAGCAGCAACTCATTTGCCAATTGTTGGGTAGGAGAGGGAATTAAATGTGGTTTTCTCAGTCTGTAAATCACCAGTTGACTTACAAGCCAGCTGATGAAAGAATTGAAGCTGTCGGAAGCATTCAATCTTCCCTTGGTAAATGTGTCCCCTCTAGGCTACAGCTCTCAAAATACCAACACGTACATACTACAGCTTTTCCTTTTCTCTAGATGTGGTCATTCTGAGTAAGGAAATGAAGCTGACCTGTGCTTTTGTTTCGTTCCTGAGGTTTTTTTTTGAAGTCTCTGTGTGTGTGCATGTGTGGGTGTGTGTGTGTACATGTTTCTGTATGTTAGTGAGGGCACAATTGTGTGCCACAGTCCGTCTGGAGGGCAGAAGAGAACCTTGGGTGTTGGTCCTTGCCTTTTAACTTGTCTGAGACAGGGTCACTTTGTTGTTAACATGTGTGTAACAGGTCGGGGCCTGTGAACTTGTGGGCACTGTCTCTCTCCTATCTGCTGTAGGACAACAATGTGTTCCCAGTGTGTAACCCCGGTATTACAGAACACACTCCTGCTCCTGGCTTTATGTCAGTTCTGGGTTTCCATCAGTCCTCACACTTGGGAGCCTTCCTCAATGAACCATCTCCCCATGATTTTAGACTTGTTTTATATATAAACAGCATAAAATGCTGCTCTTTTGATTTTCACAGGGAATTGAGAAGTGAGGTAGATATGAATTTGTGGTGTTTATTTGTTGGTGTGTGTGTTTACGATGTGTGTGCCAGTGTGAGTACATGTGTGTAATATGTGTGGCTATGGGGGTTAGACGACAGCCTGGGGTATGGGCTGCATCTTCCCCCTGGTTTCAGGCAGGCTTCCTATCATGTACTGCTTTTGCCAGACTGACTAGTGTTCCAGGGGTTCTTTTTTTGGCCTTTGTTTTCAAGACTGGGTTTCTCTGTAGCCCTGACTGTCCTGGAACTCACTCTGTAAACCAGGCTGGCCTCGAACTCAGAGATATGCCTGCCTCTGCCTTCCCCTCCGGAGCACTGGGACTAAAGGCGTGTGCCACCACCTGCCTGGCGTCTTCCAGGGATTCTTATGTCCCACATCTAATCCTAAAACCTCTGGGATGACAGGTTCGTTTGGCTGTACCTAGTTAATGTGGATTTGGAGATTTGAATTTAGGTAACTTTGATCTCTTGCTTGGGTGCCACACTCTTTGCTCACTGGACCATCTCCCAGTCCTAATTAAAATCCATTATTATTATTGTGTGTTGTTGTGCGTGCTGTGCTTGTGTGTGTGGAGGTCAAAGGACAACTTTTTAAGAGTTGATTCTCTCCCTCCCATTGTATGTGGGCTTCAGGGTCAGGTCCCCCAGGGCTGTGGGGCGAGCACTTTGCCCCAGTCACCATCTGGTCAGCTGATCAGCACCCCTCCTCCCATGGCTTACCATGTAGCTTTGGTTTTCCTCACTAGAACTCACTGTGTAAACCAGTGTGGTCTCAAACTCACAGGGATTCACCTGCCTCTTCCTCCAGAGAGCTGGGTTTATTAAAGGCGCGCTCAGGCTCAGTTTTTGGGAGGTGGTCTTTTCATGCCGTCCTGGTTGCCCTAGAACTCATGTGACTATAGACCAGGCTGGCTTCCAACTTGTGACCACTCTACCGCTTGTGTCTCCTGAGTGCTGGGCTTACAGGTGTGGCTATTTTTGCTGTTCCTTTTTGAGACAGGGTCTTACCATATAACTCTGGCCACCCTGGAACTTGCTATCACCAGACTAGCCTTGACCTCAGCTCCTGGTTTGAGGCATTTATAGCCTGTTGGCAATTTGGTAGGAAGGCTGAAAAGCTACAAATTAACATCCAGGAGCACCTGGTCTCCATCACCTCTCACCAGTTAGCTTTGGTGATCCTCCCCTTCTGTGCAGTGCTCCCTCCAGCAACACAGTGAAGAGGTGTTGAGTGTGCCCTGGAGCGTTATTGTAAGGTCTTCCGGTTGCTTTGGAAAATACTGTGGTTTGCTCAATGCTCAGACCTAACTTGCTTCTTTGCTTCCCCAGAATTCCATCCGACACAACCTTTCTCTTAACAAGTGCTTCCGGAAGGTGCCCAGACCTCGGGATGACCCTGGGAAGGTGAGAGGCTGGGGAATCAGAGGGAGAGGGAAGGAGAGGGAAGTCGTTGACACTCAGAGTCCTGTGGCTGTCCTAACTACCTAGAAGAGGGAACCATACTAATTTTAAGAGCATCGCTGTTTCCTGGAAGGAAAAAAGAACGTGGTTGCCAAGCTTCTGGCTCCTCACTGGGACAGTGACGAAGAAAGACAAGGAAATCATCTTGTTTTTAATAAGGATGTTTATGACAGCTGATTTTGAGGCTCTCCTCCCTTTTCCTCCCTCCCTTCCTCCCCTCCTCACTCATTCCTTTCTTCTTCTTCTCTTTCTTCCTGTGTTTTGAGGCAGAGTCTTACTATGTAGGCCTGGCTAGCTCTCAACTCATAGTGGTTGGGGTTAAAGGCATGTACTAAGATGGGCATGATGTTGCATACTGTTAATCTCAGCCCTCAGGATGTAGAGACAGGTGGATGTCTGTGAGTACAGTTCAGTCTAGTCTACATAGAGAGTTCCAAGACAGCCAGGATCTTATAGAGAGACTCTGTCTTAAAAAACAAAAAACAAACAGATAACAAAGGTATGTACCATTATGCTTTTAGTTTTTTTTTTTTTTTTTTGGTTTTTCGAGACAGGGTTTCTCTGTGTTGTTTTGGAGCCTGTCCTGGAACTCACTCGGTAGACCAGGCTGGTCTCGAACTCACAGTGATCCGCCTGTCTCTGCCTCCCGAGTGCTGGGATTAAAGGCGTGCGCCACCAACGCCCGGCTATGCTTTTAGTTTTTTGAGATAGTCTCACTCTGTATCCAGGTTGGTGAGACCCCTTTCTTTTGAGTGGCACTTGTTCCTACATGTAAAATGCTGGCATAGTCACTTTTTTTTTTTAATGGCAAGGTCTTACTGTGCAGCCTAGGCTGGCCTTAAACTTGGCATCCTCCTGCCTCAGTCCCTCCTGAGTGCTGGAATGACAGGTGTGTGCCAACATACCCAGCTTGCTTACTAACCTTTTGGAGGCTTTTAAAAAATTTTTATTTCCAGTGACAGGGTTTCTCTGTGTAGCCCTGGCTGTTCTGGCACTCACTCTGTAGACCAGGCTAGCCTTGAACTCACAAAGATCCGCCTGCCTCTGCCTCCTGAGCCACTGGGATTAAAGGCGTGTGTTACCACTGCCCAACTTGGAAGTTTTTCTATGCAAATCTTCAGATTTCCCTTCCAAAGGGAGGAAGTGGTGGTGTGGGGTGGGGGTGAGAGGGGGGATTCTCTCCATTTGACAGATGCTGAAGTCCACTGGACGTGTTCCTCAGGTCATAAGGACTGCTTAGTGACAGATTCGTTCCTCACTAGTTCTGGCTCCCTCCAGGCTCTGTCTGGATGTCCAGCCCTGCTTCTTTTCGTTCTTCTCCCTCCTTTGCCTTTTTCTCCTCTCTTGCTCCATCTCACTTCCTCCTTCCTGTCTTCTGTTCTGTACTGGGGAATCCAATATGAGGCGTTGCCCATGCTAGGCAAGCATTTACTGCCCGGTTACATTCCCCTGCCCCGCCCATTTCCAGCATGACGGCTATAAGAAACTCTTCCTGAGTACTTGTTTCCAACAGGAACCTCTATAGGTAATGCTTTTCCTCTCGGTGGGGTTGATTCTCCTTCCAGGGCTCTTACTGGACAATTGACACCTGCCCTGACATTTCCCGGAAGAGAAGACACCCTCCAGATGATGATGTAAGTTCTCTCCATTTGGGGCACCCCTTTCTTGGACTTGAGTCATTCTATGGTGAATGTGGGTTAACACCAGCAAAGGGGAGACAAAAGCTTGCGCCTCTATGGGTGTTTCACCCCTGCATATAGCCTTTTCTTCTTTCATAATTCTCAGCTATCCCAAGACTCTCCAGAACAGGAGGCCAGCAAAAGCCCCAGGGGAGGTGTCCCAGGGAGTGGAGAAACCTCGTTGCCTCATGAGGGGAACCCTCAGATGTCACTGCAGAGCCCGTCCTCCATGGCCAGCTACAGCCAGGTAGGAGGCAGGAGCTATGGGCACAGGGCAATTGATGGATGGCTGAGTAGGTTCGGATACTGCCCTGTCCACGGGAACATGTTAAGGACCTGTGGAGAAGAACAAGGGCCAGGAAAGTCCAGCCTGGACAGAGAGACAAGGAGGACCCAGGGAAGGGTCATAGAGAAGGAAAGCACAGCCTGGATAGAGAGACATGGAGACCCAGGGAAGGGTCATAGAGAAGGAAAGCACAGCCTGGATAGAGAGACAAGGAGGACCCAGGGAAGGGTCATAGAGAAGGAAAGCACAGCCTGGATAGAGAGACAAGGAGACCCAGGGAAGGGTCATAGAGAAGGAAAGGGTAGTGACAGTAACGAGGCCGGACTGGGCATGAGCCAACCAGAACAGGAAGAGCAGGTGATGCTGTGTCATTGGTCAGCTGGAGAGGGTGACAAGGATAGGCCTGAGAGCCTGGTGGCCTTTGGAGGGTTGTACTGCTCCGGAAGGGGCTTAGGTCACCGTCCTTACCTGTTTTTGTAGGGCCCAGGGTCTGTGGATGGTGGAGCAGCAGGGCCTCCAGGCCGAGAAAGCACAGAGGGTGCCCCTCCCCTCTACAACACCAACCATGACTTCAAATTCTCCTACTCAGAGATCAACTTCCAGGACCTAAGCTGGTCCTTCCGCAACCTCTACAAGTCCATGCTGGAGAGGTCCTCCTCCTCACAGCACGGTGAGTCTGCAGCGACGACATTGGCCCTGTGGTGTCCTTACAGTTTTTCCTTTTTGTCTTGGACACAAGGTCTCTCTATGTAGCCCTGGCTGGTCTGGAACTGCCTATGTAGACCAGGCTGGCCTCAAACTCACAGAGATCTTCCTGCCTTTGCCTCCTGAGTTGTGGGATTAAAGGCTCCTTATACTGTCAAATAATGGTAACATTCTCTTCTCTTGAGGTTTCCTGCCTTTTTGGTTTTTTTGAAATTACATTTTGTGTGTGTGTGTGCACATGTGTGTGTGTGTGTTCATGTGTGCACTGCACATGCCATGGCACACATGTGGTCAGAAGACAACTTGTGGGAGTCAGTTCTCTTCTACCATATAGGTCCCACAGATCAAACTTGAGTTGGGCTTGGTGGCAAGTGCGTTTATCTGAATATGCCATCTTTCCAGCCCCAATTCCCTCCCTCCTTCCTTCCTCCTTTCCTCCCTCCTTCCCTCTCTCTCTTTCTTTCTCTTTTGGTTTATCGAGACAGGGTTTCTCTGTAGCTTCTTCGGAACCTGTCCTGGAACTCACAGAGATCCACCTGCCTCTACCTCCCGAGTGCTGGGATCAAAGGCATGCGCCACCACCGCCCGGCTTCTTGTTTTAATATATGAAACTGGTCACTGGTCAGAGGAAACATAAGGGCTAAAGTCTTCGGTGTCAGACAGCTGATTCGGGGGCCCACTAGGTTATTATCTCCCGAAAATGAATTGGAAGATCATCCAAAGGCAGTGGTTTCCCCCTGCTCCAGTACTGGGGACTGACCCAGGGTCTTGTGTGTATTAGGTGAGGGCTCTACCACTGTGCCTGCCACACCCTCTACTTCTGGGCTGTGAACAAATCATTCAGAGTATGACCACTAGGGGACAGTAGTAGCACCCTCACCCCAAGAATCCCTATGCTTTATTATAAGTAGCTTACTTTTTTAGTTAGTAAGTTAGATTGAGACAGAATGGCAGATACTCCAGGCTGGCCTTGAGCTTGAGACATAGCCAAGGATGGCTTTGAACTTCTGATCCTTCTTCTTTCACTTGCGTGCTGGGATTTCATGTGTGTTCCCTTCCACCTGGTTTTTGTGCTAGGGAGGGAGCCAGGGTTCAGTACAATCAGCAAGCACTGAGCTACGACTGAGGCTGCTCACTGAACCTCACCACCAAGTCCTAGTGCTTTATTATTATTATTATTATTATTATTACTTCCTTTGAGATAGGGTCTCACTATGTAGGTTAACTCCCCTGAACCTCACTCTGTAGACCAGCCTGGCCTTGAACTCAAGGAGATCCTCCTGCCTTTGCCTTCTGAGTGCTGAGATTAAAGCTAGTGTGTTTTTTATTTGTAAAATATTTCGAACAGATACCAAAGTAGAGTGGATAAATAACAAACCCATGGTTTCCATCACTTAACTTTATTTTGTTAAGCTTATTTTATTTGCCATTTGTTTCAAAGTGGAAATAGTTGTGTGGATTTCCTGGACATCGTATCTTTCCCTATAAATTCAGTTTCAATATGCATCACTAATTGATGAGTGCCTCGCCGTTAGTTTTCCACCACGCTATTACTGTTCCCAACACAATTAACACATGCTACTTCTTCAACAGCAGCTGATATCTTACCCATTTGCAAATTTCCACAATTGAGTGAGAACCAGTTAAAGTCCTTGTTGGGTGGCCTCCTGAGAGATGGTGTGGCTTGGCGCCCTGCAGTGATTATATTTGTACAGTGTTCTGGTTTGCTCTCTGTTGCTGTGGTAAAGACCACGACTGAAGAATAGATACCTCGAGAGGAGAGCAGGCAGGAACTAAAGCAGAGGCCACGGGGGAATGCTTCTTACTGACTACTCCCCATGGTTTTCTTTCTTTTTCTTCTTGGGACAGGGTTTCTTTAAGTAGCCCTGGCTGTCTTAGAACTTACTATGTAGATCAGGCTGGCCTGGAACTCAAAGAGATCTGCCTGCCTTCACCTCTTGAGTGCTAGGATTAAAGGTGTGTGCCACCATGCCCAGCTTCAGCCTGCTTCTTAGCCACCTGTCCAAGGATGACATGACCCAGTGGTCAGGAGGACCAGTGGTCAGGGCCCTCCCACTTCAATCATCAATCAAAAAAATGACCCACAGATATGCCTGCATGCCCAATCTGATGGAGGAATTTTCTCCATTGATGTTCTTTCTTTCTTTTTTTTTTTTTTTTTTTTTTTTTTTGGTTTTTCGAGACAGGGTTTCTCTGTGTAGCTTTGGAGGCTGTCCTGGAACTCGCTCTGTAGACCAGGCTGGCCTCGAATTCACAGAGATCCGCCTGCCTCTGCCTCCCGAGTGCTGGGACTAAAGGCGTGCGCCACCAACGCCCGGCTGATGTTCTTCTTTCCAGATGTACTTAGCTTGTGTGCATTAGGGGATGCTCACACAGAGGAAGAATGGGAGTCCCGAGAGAATGGCGTTGCCTCTGGCTTACCCGCCCCATTTTCTGTCTCAATAATGAGAGAAAGTCACCCTCTAGCCCAAAGATTTCACCTCCTTAAACTAATTTTCATGTCACTTATAAAGACTCTGAGCTGGGTGGTGGCGGCGTACGCCTTTAGTCCCAGCACTCAGGAGGGAGTGGCAGGCGGATCTCTGTGAGTTTGAGACCAGCCTGGTCTACAAGAGCTAATTCCAGGACAGCCTCCAAAGCCACAGAGAAACCCTGTCTCAAAACACCAAAACAAAAAACAAAAACAAACAAAAGACTCCGAAATGTGGGGCTGGAGAAAAGTCAGGGTTCTAGAACTGGTGGCCTGGAGGAAGCAATTGGGTGGAGTACCTAACCTCATATAAAAACTGAGCTTCTCAGGTCATAGTAATGACAGAAACCCGAAATGAGTTAAAAGAAAGATATGTGTAAATTTTTGCATGTATGTCTGTTTGCATTTGAATGTCTGTCTGTCGGTGTGTCTGTCTGTCTGAATGTGTAAATGTGTGAAAGTCTGAGGTCAATATCAGCTATTTTCCACCTTATGTACTGAACCCAGGACTTGTCCATTAGGTAAGTCTAGTTAGTCACCTTTCTTTGAACCCCACTCTCTCTGCACCCTGAGTACTGGGACTACAGGTGTCTGTACACTCACCCAGCATTTACATAGGTGCTGGGGAACCGAACACTGCTTCTCACAAGTGCAGAGCAAGCATAAGCCACCTGAACTCTTTGCAGCCCAGTTCATACATTCTTAAAAACGTTAGACGTATTGGTGGGACTGAGAATTCCAGTGAGGTGTCAGGCCTTCTCATCCCTTGGAAGTCCTTTGTAGGCAGCGTGGCTAGACAGGATGAGGGGCACAGGGGCCTCAGTCACGTGAACTCTTCCGTCTGCGGTCTTTCATCCCAGCAGAGAGAAAAACGTGAGCGTTGCTTGAGTCCCTTTCAGAACCTGCTGACCGGTCACGAGTGTCTCCTCTTCCTTTCCTCTCTGCTCCTTCTTCTTCTCAAGCCTCCTCTGCCATCTTCCTTCCCTGTTCCCTTCTCTCCCTTCTCTTTTCTTAGCAAGGTCTCTGTAGACCAGGCTGGTCTCGAACTCTCTGCCTCCCAAGTGCTGGGATTAAAGGCGTGCGCCACCACTGCCCAGCCAGAAAGCAAAACTTAAGAAAAATACCTCAATGTTTTAAGAAACCTCGTGATTTGGAGATAGTGGTTGAGAGTTTATGGTTTTGTATTGGTTGTAGTCATAGCTATCCTAAACTGCTTTCGACCTTGGAGCTGCAGGCCAACACTCCTCCAAGTTAGCTCTTCCTTGCCAGTTGGCTTGGGAAGTTAATCAGTCCATATGCTGCTCCCACCCAAACTGCATTTCCTGGTAGTATACAAGAAGGCAGAAGAGTAGACGGTTGTAGAGACGATTGGTGGAGCAAACCATGCTTGCTTAATAACTTTCTTAGTTATAATTTAATTTTTAAATTTTACCCTCTATGTGACTTCCTTTGAAACTGATTCCAGACCTATATCTAAATCCCCTAAAAGTAGCGTGAAAGGTCACCAGTGAGGTTTTTAAGAGTTTTTATTAACATTTCTTGGTCACCACTGGGTCAAAGCTTTCCCCTAACTTAACTGCTTTTCCGGTCTGTTATCTGCTAGGAGGGACACAGGGTCCTTGTGGTCACAGGACATGCTCTTGTCCTTTAACTCTTCTGCCCAAGCTCTCTCATCCTGAGAAGACGTCATTTAGTGAAACTGTGCAGCTCGAATCACTTACCTCCTTCTTCCTCCCCCACCCCCCAGCAGGGTTTTCCTCTCTCCTGGGAGACATGCCGCCTTCTAACAACTACTACATGTACCAGCAGCCACCACCTCCGCAGCAGCCGCAGCAGCCGCAGCCGCCGCCCCAACAGTCACAGCCACAGCAGCCGCAGGCACCCACGCAGGGCCCCTCAGCTGTAGGGGCTGCCCCTCCATTGCACACCCCCAGCCCCGACGGTTGTACTGCACCAGGGGGAAAGCAGGCGGGGGCCGAAGGCTACGGCCCCTCCACTGTGATGGCCATGCATCCTCCGCCACTGCAGCACGGGGGCTACCACCCTCATCAGCACCACCCCCACACCCACCCTGCCCAGCAGCCACCTCAGCAGCAAGCACAGAGCCAGGCGCCCATCACCAGCACTGGCTTTGGTGAGCACGGAGGGGACAGAGAGAGCTGGGAGGAGGGTGAGTGAACTGCGTCCTCCAGCAGGGAGGAGCCAGGGGTGAGGAGGCTGGCAGCTGGTCTTTTAGGTTCAGTCAGTCACCCTCTTCCCTCACCTCAGCCCATGGGAGTTGGACATAAAGCCCTGTACGACGGAGCATTGAGGTTGGGGACTTCACTGTTTCCTGTTCATATTCATAGATGAATTAGCCTTGCTTTGCATATTTGCCTATGAACTGGTGGTGCTAAAAGAACAGGCCAGTCGACTATCCCTGAGTCTCCAGTGAGGGCGTGCCCACAGCTGTCCTATCCCTGAGTCTCCAGTGAGGGCGTGTCCACAGCTGTCTTGATAATGCAGCTGTCCCATCCCTGAATCTCCAGTGAGGGCGTGTCCACAGCTGTCCTATCCCTGAGTCTCCAGTGAGGGCGTGTCCACAGCTGTCCTATCCCTGAATCTCCAGTGAGGGTGTGTCCACAGCTGTCCCATCCCTGAGTCTCCAGTGAGGGCGTGTCCACAGCTGTTCCATCCCTGAATCTCCAGTGAGGGCGTGTCCACAGCTGTTCCATCCCTGAGTCTCCAGTGAGGGCGTGTCCACAGCTGTCCCATCCCTGAGTCTCCAGTGAGGGCGTGTCCACAGCTGTCCCATCCCTGAATCTCCAGTGAGGGCGTGTCCACAGCTGTCCCATCCCTGAATCTCCAGTGAGGGCGTGTCCACAGCTGTCCCATCCCTGAATCTCCAGTGAGGGCGTGTCCACAGCTGTCCTATCCCTGAATCTCCAGTGAGGGCGTGTCCACAGCTGTCCCATCCCTGAGTCTCCAGTGAGGGCGTGTCCACAGCTGGCTTGGTAATGCCGCTGTTTGCGGGTGGGTAGCTGTGAGGGACTGCTGTCTTGTACCCTGTCTCATCACCCCCTGTCTGTCTAGCCTTTCCTCCAGACTGGTGCTCCAGTATTGACTCCTTAAAGGAGAGCTTCAAGATGGTGAACCGGCTCAACTGGTCCAGCATTGAGCAGTCCCAGTTCTCGGGTGAGTACCTTAAGGACCACTTCGGAGTAGAGAGAGGGATGGACTAAGACCCAAGTGGGCGTGGGGCTGAGAATGTCCTTACCTCTGTATGTTGTACCAGAAAGATATGAGCATTTTCAAGATGCTTCAAAACTTTGCCATTGTTCAAGTACCTTAGTGCTTTATGCTGGTTATCTTGTGTCTCAGGAAGAGCAAAGGCTACTGGGAACTCAGAGACTCTGGACCATCATCTTGTAATTTTGCTTCCTGACAGAGAGATGACACTGAATTCATTAAGTCACTTTGAATATTTTTAAAATAATTTATTTATTCTTATTTTATGTACATTGATGTTGTGCCTGCATGTTTACTTGTGTGAGAGAGTCAGATCTTGGAGTTACAGTTTTTTGCTGCCATGTGGGTGCTGGGAATTGAACCTGGGCCCTCTGAAAAAGTAGTCAGTGCTCCTAACTACTGAGCCATCTCTCCAACCCCACTTGGAATATTTTTATTCACCAATGATATGAAAATTAAGGAACAAATAGAATGGAAAGCTGAAAGGTAGAACTGTAAAATGATGTAACTCTCGGCCTTGGGGTGGTCATTTGGGGATTCCCCTTTAAGAAAAACGCAAAGCAGTTTCAAATTTAGTCAGAAATATCCTTAGCTAGAGTGAAATGCATAGGCCTATTCCTGTTTTTTTTTTTTTTTAACTTTTGAGACAGGGTTTCTCTGTAGCTTTGGAAGCTCTCCTGGAACTCTCTCTGTAGACCAGGCTGGCCTCCAATTCACAGATGTCACCTGCCTCTGCCTATCAAGCGCTGGGATTAAAGGTGTACACCACCAACATCCAGCCTAGTTTTTTTACTCTAAAATTGTGAGAACAGAATAGGGTTAATGTAAGCAGTCCTAGAGAAAAAAATTCTAATTAAAAACTGGCACATTTAATGGTATTTACTGTCATATCACATTTCAATGTATACTTATATACACAAAAAAGAAAGATGAGTCATAATTTTTAGTGCACAATGTTGGTGGTACAAGATGAGAGGACACCTTGCACCAGGCTCGGTGCGGTGGGGGCTTTGGTAGCTCCTCGGGGCTGGCACGGCTGGTGTTCTCGTTTGCAGAGCTGATGGAGAGTCTGCGGCAGGCCGAGCAGAAGAACTGGACCCTTGACCAGCATCACATTGCCAACCTGTGTGACTCCCTCAACCACTTCCTCACCCAGACTGGTCACCTGCCCCCGCAAGGGGGCTCCCACCGACCACCTGCCCCTGCCCGCATCCCTGACTCCTGTGCTCTCACCAGTGGCAAACCGGAGCCATCCATGAACCAAGGTACTGCACAAAGTCGCCAAAGAAGCGGACTGCGAAGGAAACGAAGGGCGAAGGGAAAAGAGACACGAGGAACCAAGTTTATAGGCAGTGGCCAGGCCGAGTCCCGGGACTGGTTTGTTGACCCAGCAGCTGTTGAATGAGTGGAGTCCTGCAGGACCAGACAGCAGAACCGCAGGAGCAGCAGACTTGCTTCCTTTTCATCCCTTGGTCTGGGAGGTCAAAATTAGTTTTTAAAAAGGGAGGGAATTGGTTAAAGAAAGCCCTTATTCCAAATTGTCCTAGTTATAGTCTTCACCTGACTCGCACAGCAGGGTCAAGCCAGTGAAAACAGATTTGATGATCATGTTTCTGGTTATTTCCAGATCTTTGATATTTCACAGTTCTAAGATCGATCCTTTCTTACCCTAAGAACTGAGGACTGGAAGCTTCTGCAGAATGCTCCCTGCTTGCAGATTCTATAAATCAAGGCAGGAAGAGAGGCAGAGACTGATGGGGCAAGGGGACGTGTTTCCTCTTTCTGCCTTGTTGACTACAACAATCCCCTAGTCAAGTAACTCTTGTTTTGCTTTGGTAGTGAACTCTTATGGCCATCCACAAGCTTCCCATCTCTACCCTGGCACAGCACCCATGTACCCAATTTCCACCCAAGACACAGCAGGATACAGTCGCCCAGGTAAGAGCTGCAGAGGGTGTTGTTTACAGACAAGGACACTCCTCTCTCAGTGTTGTTTTGGTTTGATTTTTTGTTTTTTGAGACAGGGTTTCTCTGTATTGCTTTGGAGGCTGTCCTGGAACTCACTCTGGAGACCAGGGTGGCTTTGCACTCACAGAGATCCACCTGCCTCTGCCTCCTGAGTGCTGGGATTAGAGGCGTGTGATACCAACGCCCCGGCTTCTCAGTGTTGTTTGCTTTGGTTCAAAATTCTCTCTCTGCCCTTCTGTCTGCATCTGCTAGGATGGGGAGGGGCATCTGTTGGGACTAAGAAAGGCAGTTTTATTTAATTATATTTGCTTTGTTTTTATAGGGCTGGGAGTGGAGCCAGGACCCCACACATACTAGACAAGAGTTTACTTCTGAGCTACACCACTAAGTTGGGATTGCTTTAAAATTACCTTGTATATATATGCATTTGTTTTGCTTTTCAAGACAGGTTTTCTCTGTGTAGCTTTGGAGCCTGTCCTGGAGCTCATCTGTAGACCAGACTGGCCTCGAACTCACAGAGATCCCCCTGCCTCTGCCTCCCAAGTGCTGGGATTAAAGGCGTGCGCCAGCACCTGGCTTGAAGTGAATATTTTATATAAAATTTTACCCATGTCTGTCCTATCACCTGACCATTAGTATCAGGGATCTGAGTTAAACTATGTTTTTTTTGTATTTGTTTTTTGCAGTGTTGGGGTTAAATTTAGGGTTTCTTAAATGCTGGACAAGTACTGTACACTGAGTTGCTTCCTCAGCTTGGGATTGAACTGTCTTTGATGGTGGGGTGGGCAGAGTACAGGGAGACCGTGAACCACATGAACAGACCCTCATGTTTAGATGCGTTTTAGGAATTCACTGTTGACATCTTATGTGATCGTGAGCAGTTTCTAGGGTGATGTCTGTTTTTTTTTGTCCATGCAACTTTGTGCTGTTTCATTTGATGCCACCTTCGTAAGTGATTTTGTCAGTTAGGCAGTCTTCAAAAATACAGTTTATGGCGTGTGCTTTGGTGTGTTTCCTGAGATGTCACTGAATTAAGAGTCTATCGGAAAGAACTGTAGGCTAATGAGTCTGGCTCTTCTCTGTCCTTCACGGTGTCACTGGGGCAGAACACTCCCCAGCTAGACTGATGGACTGACTTCTCATCCAGCTTCCTTTATGGTCTGTCTTTCTTCTCGACAGCACACCACATGGTTCCTCGGCCACCTGTCCCCCCTCCTGGTGCCAGTGAGGAGATCGCTGATGACTTCGACTGGGACTTGATCACTTAAAGAATCAGAGTGGACATCAGCCCGAGGCCTGGTGGTGAATCTCGCCATGGGGGAGGAGCAGTCCCTGCCCATCCTCCCCAAACCTGTATATAGATATATAGCTTCTTAATGTTCTCTGTCAGAGAAGTCACCGCAAGATGCTGCCGAAGATAATCCCTTCCTTCCTCGTTCTCTTTTCTTCCTAGTTCTTTTATTATTATTCTAATTATATTATTGTTATTATTGGTTATATACTGCCCAGTCTACTGCCCCTCACCATGGGCTATGCCCTCCTCTTCCCTATTTGAAATCTTCCAGCTGCAAGATGAGACCATGATAGCTGTAGAGAAAAGTTTCAAATTCTAGTTCACCTTTCTCTCTGAGAAACTCAATGCTACTCCCCCTTTCAGCTCTAAATCGTGTTCTGTTCCTGTCTGTTTCAGGCTGGCCTGGAGAGGCCTCAGCAGGCAGAGGGGGGTCTAAGACACTGCTTGGCAGCCATGACTCTGCAGGTTTTACTCAATGGTGCTAATCGTGTCCTCCGAACTCTTCCTTTATGCACCCAGTCTTTACTCTTCTGGCGGCCCCCTGCTCCCTGTCTAGGGTGGGCTTGGACAGCTGAGTTGAGTACAAAGCCGTGGAGAAGTGGTGGATCTGAGTTAGCATGAAGATAGGCTGATGCTCTCAGGGTGGCATGAGGACCACTGTTCATCATAGGTTCAGCCTCTTGGAAACGCTTTGAATTTCAAGTATTTGGTTTTGGAAAAATAATTCTTTCTGAGAATTACTGTGGCTATGACTGCATATGTAAATTATCTTCCATCTTCTTTTTTCCCCTTCAGCAAATGTTCTTTTGTCTTCCTATAGCTGTTTGTCCAAATCGTCCTCCCGTCTTGCTCTCTTTTCCCATTTTCTGGGATCCTCAAACAGCACAAGGAAGCCATCCTCACTCTGGCTTTCTTCGTGTCCTGGACATGCTGTGGAAACCCCTTTCCCACCTTCACAGCTGACTCATCCCTAGTATCGCTGACAGGAAGGGGGGAGGGGAGGAGAAGGGAATTGGCGCAGACACAGGTAGGGCTGAGTCGTTGGTTTCGCCACACTGGGAGTGCATCTCTTGAGATCTGGATCAGTGGCTGAAGCCTTTGCTTCTAACAGGCACTGAAATTGTAAGCGGGAAATCAATACAGAGATGATTCAGAGAGGGCAAGGGGCACTCCTGGGCATAGGGCCGAGTAATCTCTATTAACCATAAGCAACCGGGGCTTACTGCTGCAGGGTTCCTGTGAATGTGTCTGTTGAATTTGGCTTTTGAGAGGGAAGACCAAGTTTACTTCCATTTTTCTGAAATGGACAAAATACGTAGTTTAGGCAAGGCCAATCTCTTTGTGGTTTCTGACTTTTGGTTATTTTCTCTTATTTATCCATGATTTCCAAGATATTGGACTTCCCACTCTGATTTCCCCACTACCAACCCCTTTCCTTTTTTCAGAAGGGGGTTCAAGTATGAGATAGTTGAAGTCCAGTGAGGCTAAGTGAAGACGCATAAGATAGGGCAGTTCACTAAAGAGCACTTTATTTCTTTTGAAGCCTTTGTAAGGAAAAAAAGAAGGGGGAATATAAGAAAAAAAGCCAGTGCCCTCCAACACAATGGGAGATTGTACTGGGGAGCACTTGGTGGGGTTGAAGTATGATGCAATATTTCCCACTGGGGAGAGGAGAGTTTCTCTAGAGGGTGGCACAAGCCTTTGCCTGGTACCCAGTTAGCATCCCCTCGTTCCTTCCCTCCAGGTGTGTTCTACACAGCTTCCCTTTGGTTCTCCTCCACACCTTGTCTTTGCAGAGCACCGCTCCGCTTTTCTCAACACCTCCCCTGGTCAGATCTGTACAAGGTTGGGAAGGGTAGACTGAGTCAGACTCCTGAATGCCCCGGCTCCTCCACGTCCTGAGACCCAGAGTCTCATGAAGAGCCAGCCCTGGTGGGCAGCCAGAGCCGCCTTAGGCCTCCCCCTGATGTTCCAGCCCTCCTCCACCAGGATCAGGATTGCAGAATGGCACGGGACAAACTTGATTCCTGTTGGGCCTCAGTTTCCCATCCCCTCCATGAAGTGGAGAGAAAACTACTTTATTTTGTTGGTCCAGTGTTGCTGGACATGAAGTTTTGTCATTGTTGTTGTCTTGGGTGATGTGTGCAAAATTGTAGGAGTCACTGCCTGTCAGGAAATAAGGGAAAAAGCAGAGGAGGAGGACAAAAGGAGAGATCATTTGGTATTGATCCACCTATCCTAGGCTTCCTCTCCTCAACTCCCGTGTTTCTGGTTTGGTGAGTTCTTTATACCACCCATAATGCTTTGCATTGGTGCAGGCTGGGAAGAGGGTGTATAAGCTCACAACTTGATTTTTTTTGCATGCTTTCTTAATAAAAAAAAAAGAATGTTTCCAGTTTTCCTCTTATTCGTACTTCTCTCTGACTTCTTTTTGCTGGGGTGGGAGAGGAGAACGGTGAAAGCACTCTGCTCCTGCTGGCACCGGGCTACTCCCCGTCCCTGCCACGGGGGTTGCTCAGCTGACTCTGACTGTTTGCAAGAGTGATGGAAAAAAATTAGACGTGGGTTTCACAGTTTGTCTTTAAAATGCTATTGAGTTAGTGAAATCTTGTTGGAGGTCAACGGGTAGAGGAGGCCCACCTTGTTTGCGTGCTAGTTTAAACGGTAGACACGAAGTTCCACCCCTAACCAAGAAGCTATTTGCAACGTTATGCCTGTTTAAAAGGAAATGTCACTGTTAAAAAGGAAATGTCACTTCAATGCAGTGCCACGAGCATATATCAACCACACCCCATGGCTGTCCCCATACCAGGAGTAGCTGACCAACACAGGGCAGACTTCATGTTTTTTTTTAATGTGCGTGTATTTATTGTTGTTTTTGTTTTTCCTATGACAAGGTATCTCTGTAACAGCCCTGGCCATCCTGGAACTGGCTTTGTAGACCAAGTTAGTTTTGAACTCACAGAGATCCACCTGCCTCTGCCTCCCGAGTGCTGGGATTAAAGCTGCGCACTGCCACCAACTGGCTTTTTTGTTTTTTTTGTTGTTGTTGTTGTTGTTGTTTTGTCTTACTGATGTTCCTTTTTTAGTTTGTGTGTCTCTTTGGTCTCTTTTGATTTTTGTTTTTTTCTTCTTTTTTTGAGAGAAAGAACGTGAAGTTGGATGGGTAGGGAGGTAGGGGAGGATCTTGAAGGAGTTGGGGGAGGAGAGAGAATATGATCAAATATATTGTCTGCTTTTTATTTTTTTATGTAATATAATTTTAAAAAATATTCAGGATACTTACTGTAGGGGAGGGGTTGAGTCCTTGTTTTAAATTTTCTGGAGATGAGAGTATAAAATAGGGAAAGACACTCACTCATCAGAGTTGTGGAATGAGGGGATCTAAATGGTAAAGCTTTCTTCAGAGCACCACCCCAAGTAAGCAGAGCTCTCAGAAGAAGTCAGGTATTGGCAGAGTTACTATGCTTTCAGTCTTCAAAGTGTGCCGAGACTGTTCACCCTGTTGCCCTTTGTGGTAGCCCAGCAACTGGCACCCAGATGTCAGAGCCTTGGGGGACTGGAGGCATGATGTTGCTGTCACAGCGAATCTCAGTCACTCACCATGAGGTTCATTTGCTGCCTATTTAGGGGCTATAGTACCCAGAGAGACACCTGTAGGTGGGACGTAGGGAAACTGCCCAGCTGTTATGAACATTTTCTACTCCTGCGGAGGACCAGGGTTTGGTTCCCAGCACCTCCATAGTGGTCACAACCACCTGTAACTCCAGTTCTAAGGGATCCGACACCCTCCTGTGGCCGCCGTGGGCACCGGGCATGTAGGTGGTACACAGATACACATACAAAGCACTCATACACATAACAGCTAAAAAAAGGAGTTAAGAAAGGACTGGTGAGTCTCGAGTGTTTATTCATGTGGAATATATACACTTACATTGAAAAGGCAAAACTCCCATCTTATGCCCAAAATTGCCTTGCAACAAAAAAGATTCTTAGTCATTTGAATTTTTTTCTGTACAGTTGTTTATAAAACAATTGTAGCGTAAGACCCTTCCCTCAACAACTGAACAAATGTTTTACAAGACTAAAATACATTCAATTTTCTGTCTTTAAATTAACTGGCTCATCTTAGATTAGCCTATTTGTACAAACAAGCTTGAATTTTCAGTGATTTAACACATAATAATAGAAATACCAGCGGCTGGAGAGATGGCTTAGCAGTTAAGAGCACTGGTTGTTCTTCCAGAGGACCTGGGTTCAATTCCCAGCACCCACATTGGAGTTCTCAACTGTAACTCCAGTTCCAGGGTACCCAACACCCTCATGCAAGCAAAACACCAATGCACATAAATTTAAAAAATAGATGATGGGAGTTGCTAATTTTTAAAAATTAAGCTAAAGGTTTATTGTAGTACTATGTATAATAACTAAGATGTAGAACCTGCCTTGGTGTCTGTTAACAGTTGAATGGATAATGGCAATGTGCTACACACACACACACAGTGCAGTTTTATTCAGCCATAAGGATGAGCAAAACCCTGTTATGAGCACAAAGGATGGAACTGGAAGACATTATGTAAGATGAAGTGGACAAAGAAGTGCCATACAGTTTTATATAGGAGAGCCAAAACTGTCATCCTGAGCAGACTGCAGAGTAGCTCAGTTAGTAGGATGCTTAATTAGCAAGCTTGAAGCCCTGGTTTTGAATCCCAGCAGCACTTAAGACTGGACTTAGTGGTCCATGCCTGTAATTCCTGCACGGGAGGCGGGGGCAGGAGGATTGGAAGCTCTGGTTGCACAGCAATTTTGAGGCCACCTGGGATTCTTGAGACCTTGTCTTAAAAGAAGAAGCCAACCAGAAAGTAGAATAATGGGGGCTGTACGCATGTGTGGGTCACTCACACTGCCTTGTGTGTATATAAAACACGAAAGGGCAGAAGAGAAGCAGTGTGTCATGGAAATGTGTTGGCAAGAAAATTGTGTAGTCAGCTTGGGGGTGGTGCTCAGGTCTAGGACTGTAACAAGAGACCTGTGAGTCTGAGGCTAGCCTGTTCTACACAGAGAGACCCTGGGTCAAAAGCAAACAAAACCTAACAACAAAAAGTAAAAGAAGAGCCTGGCGTTGGTGGTGCACGCCTTTAATCCCAGCACTCGGGAGGCAGAGGCAGGTGTATCTCTGTGAGTTCGAGGCCAGCCTGGTCTACAGAGCGAGTTCCAGGACAGGCTCCAAAGTTACACAGAGATACCTTGTCTTGAAAAACAAACAAACAAAAAAAGGAAAAGAAAAAGAAAAAGGATGCTCATGGACAAATTAAAATATGACACTAATCAACACAGGGATGTTGGATGAAAATATGAAAGTGGATAACATATTCATCTTTCAAAACAATCAGTTTTATCCTGTCTATAAAAAGCAACAGTGTAAGCACATGATTTAGGCACATCATGGTAAATATCAGAACAAATGGCTAACATTCCTGCAAAGGTGCTCTCTCGAAGTAAGAGGGAGACAGGAACTACTGGGCATTGGAGAAAGAGGCCTCTTGTATTTCATTATTATTTCATTACTGGTTAGTTCCTTTAAAATTGGGAGCATATATTGCTTTATAATACCATGGTCCAGATAAACACTGATTTGAAAAAGCCCAAAGAGAGTGTGCCTGGCATGTTCGGCATGCATGATACCCAGACCTGTGTTTCTAGTATTTTGATAGCATTGCCATCAGGGTGCAGGGACCTGCGAGTGAGTTGAAGGATGACAGTTCCACCTTTCATCCACTGGGGCGAGAGGAAAGGCATCTTTATGATACCGCTTTATTCTATGGGAGGCACAAAGTCTAACGTGGACGACTAAGCAGGGGGCCAGGCACGGTGCTGCATCCCCCCAACCCCAGCAGGAGATGGCAGGACCCTGTGCGGAAAACAGAAAGGAAATTCAGGAACTCAAGAAATGGGACATTGAGGGCCATGGTAGCACGTCCTTTAATCCCAGAACTCGGGAGGTAAAAGCAGGAGGACCTCTGAGTTAGATGCTAGCCTGGTCTACAGAGTGAGTTCCAGGACAGCCTGAGCTACACAGAGAAATGCTGTCTTGAAAAACCAAAAAAATTTTAAAAAAAGAAAAAAGAAAAGAGACACAGATGGTTCTATGAACAAGAGGAATGCATGGGAAGAATACTCCAAACCACAGCTTCCAAAACACTCCATGAGTACGCAGGTAGGGGTTCGCGCACATCTGTGCTCACTTGGGGGTAATCTTGGGCACCTGGAATTATCTGAGGACACTTCCAGTAGCAGGCGTTTGGCTCTGTACTCTGTTCCAGTCTCTAACTCATCACTACTTGCTTTCATAGGACTTTTTTTTTTTTTTGCGTCTTTTCTTTTTCCCCCACTTAAAACCACCACCACCACCATAAAGCTGTACAATAAGTGAGTATCTTTCACTCAGGACAATAAAAGCAGCCTTCCGTATAAACTGGAAGATGATTTATATGTTGCTAAGGAAAAAAGATTAATATTGAAAACAGATGAGAAAGTTATTTATCTCTCACGGCTTAGGGATAGGAATAGCCTACGTCAAATGATCAAAAAAACATTAATCAGAAGCAAGAGGGCCTGTTAAAACACTGGTCCCCGTGGGCCGGGGATTTTGAGTCAACAAGCAGGAGATGGGGCTTGAAAATTCGCATCTTTGAAGTTTCCAAACTATGTTGATGCCAATAGTCAGAGCCCTCTCTCTCTGAGAGCCACAGATTGTCTAAAGTACCCTGCTCCCATGTCATCCTTCACCAGTATTTGCCTGAGAACAGCTGCTTAGGTCTCCAGCTCCTCATCTTCATACATCTGTACTCAAATTGTTTCTTTTTGAGGTGGCTTTGTCCTGGGTACAGCTGGTAGAGTGTGTGAGCTCTTCGCTGAAGGCTGCCTCCAGAATGCCCTTTATGGACTGTGTTGCTTTCTTCCTAAAGTCTTTCCCCAAAAGGGCATAAAGGAAGGGGTTGAAGCAACTATTAGCAGATGCTAAAGCAATGGACATGTGGTCCCAAGATAACGCAGCTTCCCTCAAAGGAGTTTCTGGGTCAGCAATCAATAATAGGACTCCAACAATATGGTATGGAGTCCAGCAGACAAAAAAGACAGTTACCACCACCAGGGCCACCCGAAAGGTTTTGCTTCGAGACTTGGTGAAGTTGGTTTTTCTCATTCGGAAGACAATGAGGCTGTAACAAGCCACCATGATAAAAAGGGGCACCAGGAAGCCCACCACCAGCCTTGTGATGGTTATTGCCTGCATAGGTATTGGTTCATGGCGTTCATGCTTGAACTGGGCAAAATAATCATCCTGGAAATCTTGTGACTGCCCAGGATGGTATACGTAACTGCTCGAAGCAGTAGGGGAAAGCTCTATAGAAGCAGAGAGAAAAGCATGGGCTCTCTGTGTGTTGGCTCTGTGATCTTCAACAGGAAACCCGCTGGGTACGGCAGGCATGAGCCCACTTGGAGGTCTTACACTGTAATGGGGTTGTTGACTAGACAGTCTTGCTGAGTCTAGAGGGAACGGATCTGCAGAAGATCTTCGGACTGTTTGTGACTGGAGGGCAGTGACAGCTGTCGGAAGGAGATCACTTATTTGGAAAGAGGAAGGATCGGACCTGTCATCCATTTGTCCTGTTAGCTGAGCAGTGGAGTTGTCAGTAGAATTGCTTTCTGGTAGATCTGTATCGTACATGTCGTCCCAATAATCAAAATTCCCTTGGGAACCAAAATTATAGCCACATTTAGTATGATTGTCTATAATGAGCAGGTCACGGTATACAAATACTGGTACACACATCACAAAGGCCACCACCCAAACACATCCACAGATGGTTAAGGCTGTCCTCACGTTCCGATGATTCTGGCACCAGATTGGCTTGTGTACCATCAGACAGCGGTCCAGGCTAATGGCGGTAAGCAGGAAGACACTGGCAAACATATTGAGGACGATGATGGATGGGATAAGTTTGCATAGGAACAAGCCGTAGGGCCAGTAGCCCCGGAGGATCAGGTGAGCCAGGGAGAAGGGCAAGGAAAGGCAGCAGAGGAAATCGGCCAGGGTGAGATGGAAAAACCAAACTGTGTTCACGGTCTGCTTCATCTTTAGGCCAGCCACCCACAGCACCAGCCCGTTGCCAGGCAATCCCAAAAGACAAGTGAGGCAGAGAATGACCATGGAGAGGATGTCTTGAGGGTTAAACAGAGGCGGGGAGTGTGGGTCAGTTGAATTGGTGTCGGCAGAGAAAGACTCCATTGCCAAACCTGCAAAAAGATGAAGGAAATGTTAAAGCTTATAGTAATTTGTGAAGATAGACACTCTTAGGAGGCCTTATGTGGTGATGTATCCCTCCGATGCCAGAGGCTCTCAGAGTCTGGTTTGCATTCCTTCACCAGAATAGACACACAACAGCATTCTCTGATAGACAATTTAAAATCTATGATATGGATTTAAATGTGTATCGAAAAGATAACTTCATTTGGAAATCCACATACCTCCCCCCCACCCCTGTTTTGCCTCCTGTTTTTTGTTGTTTGTTTTTTCTAGTGCTGAAATCCAGGCCTAGGGCCTGCAAATGCTGGGCGGCACTCTCCTGAGCTGCAGCTTCACCCCTTGGCTTTTTGGCACAGGAACTCCATGTTGCCCAAGCTGGCTGACTTCCAACTGACTGTATTGTAGAGTAAGCTGCCTTGAACCAATGATCCTCCTGCCTCTTACTTCTGAGTGCTGGAATCACAGGCATTGCTACGACACTTTGCTGTGAAATGCCCTGTTCCTCATTTCCAGGCCTTCTTCCTTCACTCAGTGTCCACTACTGAAACTGAACAGACATCTAAATGAGTAAGTAAACAAATTTCTAGACAGATTCTCCCTAGTCTGAAGTCATCGTAGGACTTTAGAATAGATTTCACCACACTGGCAACAGCATTTAAAGTTGAACTTTGCATGTTGTCATTTCATTTGTTTATCTGTTGTGTGTGTGTGTGTGTGTGTGTGTGTGTGTGTGTGTGTGTGTGTGTGTAGCATATTATCTAGTAATCTGACAAGACATTTGGATTGTTTCTACCTTTGAGGTATTTAAATACTACAGCTGTATTTCTTTGCTTTCTATTGCTGTAATAAAACACTGACCAAAGGCAACTTGGAGAGGAAAGAGTTGATTTCGTGGATATTCCAGGTCAGAGTCCATTGAGAGACGCCTAGGCAGAGGCCTGGAGGCAGAGTCTGAAGCAGCCACACTGGAACGTTTTCTACTGGCCTGTTTCTTATGGCGACTCACCCTGTTTTATTATACATCCCAGGACCATCTATCTGCCCAGTGGGGACAATGGGCTGCACCCTCCCACATCAGTGGCAATCAACAAACTGTCCCACAGAGTTATCTACAAGCCGATCTGATGGATGCGTTTTCCCAATCGAGGTTTCTCTTTCCAGATAACTCTTATCTTGTGTCAGGTTGAGAGAAAGCCACCCAGGACAGCCTTACGGACATAACATACAGGCTTTCTAGTCTTACTGTTTCAGTTTAATCCCCACACCACACAGAAAGATTCAATTGAAAGAATGTCAAGTTTTTATCCAATTATTTTCCAACTTTCTCCCTAGATATCTTTTTTTTAAGTTTTCATGTTTTTACTTAATCTTTTATTTTTTAATGTGTATGTATGTGTGGTCTGTGAACTTATGTACCCCATATGCATGAAGGATCCTGTGGAGCCAAGAGGGCATGGGGTCCCCTGGAATTGGAGTTACAGACAGTTGTAAACTGCCATGTGGGTGCTAGGAATTGAACTCATGATCCCTGGAAGAGCAGCCCTGTGCTCTTAACACCTGAGCCATTTCTCCAGCCCCTAAATATCTTTCACAATGATCCAAGCTGTGACCATACTACCCATTAGGGTGTTGGTAAACTTTAACACAGCTTCTCTTTCAAGGCTGATGGCTTGTTTGGGGCTTATTATTATGAATAATCATTCCTTTTTGCTTGTTTATTTGAGACAGGGTTTCTCTGTAAAGCCCTAGCTGTCCTGGACTCACTCTGTGGACCAGGCTAACCTTGAACTCAGGGATCCACTGGCCTTTGCCTCCTGGAGCTAGGATTAAAAGCATAGCCACAATGCCAGGCTTGAACAATCATTCTGAACTCTCTTTTTCACGGTTTGGGTTTATTTTGTCTTCTGCTCCTAATGCTCCGCTAAAATTGCATAGAGAATTCAAACCCAAATGAATTTCTCTGTCTTCCACAATGCAGTTCTCATCAGTCTCCCCTCCTGGTCTCCATGACATCTTTCCAGTCAACGCAATTTTATATTCCTGAACTGAGGCTAATGATTTCCATTTAGAATTATGTCTTTTGTATGGCTTCTTCCTTTCTCTACACTAAATTTCTGTCTGTTAAAATACTTAACCTCTCAAGATGAAACTCAATGTCTTTTGTCTAAAATATTCTCTTACAATCCCTTGGAGATTCTTTAGTCTCTTCCTTATATTTGATAAGCCTGTGTGAGTGTGTGGTTGAGCCTTTTCTGATATGTTCTATGAGGTGGCATATTTCATCTTGCTTTGTAATTCTTATAATGACCCCAACCTGTGTCATGGTAATGATAAGATCTGTTTATAAATGCCTATTCCATGGGATTTAGCATATGGATGGATGGTCATTTCTTTTCTTTTGGTTTTTATGAGATGAAGCCTGATTATATAGCCCAGGCTGGCCTCTAACTGAAGACCTTCTGCTTCGGTTTACTAAATGTTGGTATTATAAGGCATGCACCACCATCACAGGGGAATGCTTACTTTTCATTTTCAATTACACTTAAATTTTAGTTCTTAGCCTTTTCACTTTTACCCAGATGGCTTTCTTAATCCCTATGCTGTCTCTTCTAATTTCTGTTTTGTTTTTAAATTCCAAATTATTACAGGGTATAATAACACTTTGCTTCTTTTTTTTTTAACGGAAGTCCAGACATTTGGAGGTCATTCTGCTGAGCTTAACAAACCTTGCCACAAGGTTTTATGTGGCAAGAGGAAGTTAAAAGAACAAGTCAACAAAATGAAAAAAGGAGAAATGATTTCCATCTTCCTTCTATCTGTCTTTTTCTTCTCAGATCTCCAAATCCCAGCAGTCCCTAATTTGAAATGCAAGAGTGCTGATGTTGTTAATGCACAGGACTCATTGAGAGAAAACGTCAGAGATTGCCAGGAACACACAAACATTTCAGATGTCATTTCTCCTCATGTCACAGTTTCTGACGCTGAAACTCAGGGGTTTGTGTAACCTTCACATGATTACAACCAGCAAGAGTTTCAAGTGCTTCATGCAGTGACTGTTAGGCCAGGCTCTTTCTACTGCAAGGGCCACACATCTGAGAGACTTTGGTCTTGATAATAAAGTAAACGGAGCAACTTAAAATAATAGTGTCGTTGACATCTGTAAGAAGTTGAGAAGAGCCGGGCATTGGTGGGGCATGCCTTTAAACCCAGCACTCGGGAGGCAGAGGCTGGTGGATCTCTGTGAGTTGGAGGCCAGCCTGGACTATAGAGAGAGTTCCAGGACAGCCTCCAAAGTCACAGAGAAACCTTGTCTCAAAAAACCAAAAAAAAAAAAAGAGTATGCAAGTCACCTAAACAGTCACCCGGAGCAAGCTCACAGTTGATATTTCCCCAAGTTTTGAGAAAACAAAACAAAACAAAACACAAACCCTTTATGTTTAAGATTATTAGTTATTTTTTTAAAAAACATTTTAGTACTGAGTTAGCCAGTAGTAATGAAAAGATAGGGAAACTCTTGAAACTCAAACTTATCTATAATGAGTAAAGAGAAGTGGATTCCCCAGTCAAACACTAATTATAGGGTGAGACAACCAGCAGTGCTGAGGACAGGAAACCGAGAGAGACAGAACGGGAACCCATATATGGGTATATACGTATATACATATAGATGATGTGTGTACCTGCGATCAGTGACTGGACTAACGGGAGAGAGAGAGACAGAACGGGAACCCATATATGGGTATATACGTATATACATATAGATGATGTGTGTACCTGCGATCAGTGACTGGACTAACAGGAGCCATCAGAAGCAGAGGTCAGGAGAAGCAGTCATAAGTGACAGGGAATAAGAGACATAAATATTCATTATTTTCAGAAGGAAAATATTAAAAGCAAAGACAAATAGAATGAATCGTATATAGAGAAAAAGAAAAGTAAACATGGGGATAAGACAGGAGAAATAAAAGTTAGGGTATGGTGGCGCTAGCCTTTAATCCCAGCACTCAGGAGGCAGGGGTAGAATCTACATCTCTGTGCGTTTAAGGCTAGCCCAGTCTGTAGCGAGTTCCAGACCAGCAAAGACTACACAGTTAAGACTCTATAAATCAAACTCTTAGGGAAAGAATAGATGGAAATAGAAGATAATGAACAGTATAGCAGGCTAAACGAAGCACAAGCTATCAAGTTCATCTAGGGTTTCTTACCCAACACGCTGCGATGAAAGCAGAGGGCTCCAGTACTGATCTGCAGGTTACCAACAAATCCTATCTGGTCCCCACACTTGGCTGGAAGGGAGTCATGAAGTACATCGGACGAGTTGCTGAGCGCTTACTTTCCTGTGGTAAAGGGAACTCCACATCTAGACTGCTATCTGACTGCTCAGGAAGGGCCTCTGTGAGTCACGTCTCAAATTTAGGCGGTTTAGATAAGAAAAGCAGAAGGACACAAGGGGGCGTGGAATGCTGACAGTCTCTGCCGGAGCCATAGTCCCAGCTACTAGAATGCTGAGGCAGGAAGTGGGAAATTTCCAGGCTTGCCTGGGCTACAGGGTGAGTTGTTTTTGTTTTTGTTTTTTCCTTTTAAATGCATCTCTTATTTTGTTTTTATGTTTTTTATAAAAGATTTATTTATTTCTCATGTATACAGTATTCTACCTGCGTATACACTTTCATGCCTGAAAGCGTGCCAGATTTTATTTTGGATGGTTGTGAGTCACCCTGTGGTTGCTGGGAATTGAACTCAGGACCTCTGGAAGATCGGCCTGTGATCTTAATCATATGTGTATGGGTGCTCACAGAGGCGGGAAGAGAATGCTAGATCTCCCGGAACCGGAACCTAACGTGGATGCTGGGGACTGAGGTGCCTTCGCCAGAGCAAAAAGGGTTTTTAACTTCCGAGTCATCTCTCCAGCCCTCCAAGAGTGAGGTGTTTAAAAGGTTTAATTATTTAATGTGTAAGAGGGATTTTAAGGCCAATTTAAGAAAGTTATCAAGACCTCATCTCAAAATAAAAAGTAATTAGAGGACTGTAGCTCAGCGGAGGGCACTTGCCTAGTATGTCTTAGGCGGCTACGTTTGTGTTTAATCCCCAGCACAGGAACAAAAAAGTGTGAATGTGGGTGGTGGTGGGGGAATGGGAGGTGGCTATGATCACGATACGTTGCATACATATGTATTTGTTAAAGAACAAATAAGAACACATTTACCAAAACAGATGGCTGAGTTGGGGGTCGGGGTTTGAGGAGGAATGCTGTAAAAAATACATTTAATTAATCTTAAATAGTATCCCTTTGATGTTTGATATGTGGATAATAAATGAGGCTATACCAGAATCAGAATGAATTAAACCATGTAATCTCTGCAGATTTAAACACACACACACACACACACACACACACACACACACACACACACACACACACACCCGTACTACAAACATACTTTGCGTATAAGTGGAGATGAAATGGAATGCAGTGGGTATGGATATGTTTATCTGGGGGCAATCTGGGGAAAAAAGTAAGAGAGAAGCGAGATGTAAACAATTACAGGGCTTGCACAGGCTGACAGTGACAGGTGCTTGGAATGGGAGAAATCGCTCCAGGCAGGGCTTCGTGAGAACGCAGCGGCTCCAGGCAGGGCGTAGTGAGAACGCAATTGTCTCCTGGCGGCCTAGCCTGTAGGCACTAGACTGCTTTTCACCAGGTGAAGGTACAGTCCCTGCTTTAAAGAATTCCTTCCCATCAATCAGGCATGGTGGCCCACTTCTGTAAAACAGGCAGTCAGGATGCTGAGGCAGGAGGATCCCTTGTTCCAGGCAGCCTGAGCTACAAAGTGAGATACCTACTCAAACAGACGGGCAGACAAAGACTCCTCACTATCATTCTTTTGCATTCAACTGAAGCTGATTTTGGTTCTCCATATGAAAATATATAGAATATATTTAGATGTATATAGTTGTCTGTGAAAAGGCTCCAGTCCACACCGATCAACTCATTCAGAAAACAACTTCGCCTCCTTTCTTTGTTTGTAATCAAACAGTCTGGGATGTCTGAGTCAGAAAATCTAAAAAAAAAAAAAAAAAAAAGGAATAAAGAAAGAAAAGAAAAGAAAAAGATAAAGAGTTGAATAATACCCCTTAAACTATTTCTTTCTTTTGTTTTGTTTTTGCTTTTCGAGACGGGGTTTCTCTGTGTAGTTCTGTAGATCAGGCTGGCCTGGAACTCACAGAACTCTGCCTGCCTTTGCCTCTGGACTGCTGGAATTAAAGGCATGAGCTACCACCACAATATGTGTTTTTAAAAGTAGTTTTGAACAAAATGTAATGTAATTGATGTGTGATTTTTTTTATGGCTTGACATCAGAATTTATTTCTATGCCCATATACAATGTATACAGCTTTATTACTTATTTGTGTGAGTGTGTGTATGTTTTTTCCCCTCCAGTATTTGGAAACATTGAATAATGAAGGTATTCAGAAGGCATAAAAATAGTGTTGTAATATGTGGATATTCATACATGTACACATATATTCACATAAAATATATATTATAGAGACAATTTATTACCATGGTCAAACATTAAATTAGAAGGATTAAAGTAAAAACTAAATTTCTGAACACCATTTTTTAAAAAAAGATTTATTTAACCTTTTAAAATTAAATTCAATTGTTTTTGAAACAGGATTTCTCCGTGTAGCTTTGGAATCTATCCTGGAACTCTCTCTGTAGACCAGGCTGACCTCAAACTCACAGAGAGTCGGAGAGTTGCCTGCCTCTACCTCACGAGTGCTAGGATTAAAGGTGGGCACCGCCACCGCCTGTCTTTAAATTTAATTTTAATTTTATGTGTTTGTCTGCATGTATGTCTGTGTCCCACTTGGATACCTGGAGTCACAGAGGACAGAAGGGGGCATTGGAACCCATGGAGTTATGGACAATAGTTATAGTTATAGCTAGAGTTACAGAGTTGTGAATCCCCATGTGGATGCTAGAAATTGAACCCAAATCTTCTGCAAGAGTAGCCAGTGCTCTTAACTGCTAGGACGTCTCTCCAGCTCCTAGATTTATGCTAATTTAATTATGTATATTTTGGGGTGTCTGCGTGTTTGTGCGTGTGAGTGCAGGTGCCCAAGGAGGTGAGAAGAGAGCATCAGATCCCCATGGAAATGGAGTTACAGGTAGTTGTTGTAAGCATTTTGGTTGGATCGGGCATGTAGATGGGTCAGGTATTCTGGCACTCAGGAGTCACAAAATACTGAGTGTTACACAGCTCAGGTGGAAAGGTATTCTGGAGCTCGGGAGCCAAGGACTACCACAGGATGTAGTAAGCTTAGCAGCTTACAGCCTTGTCTCAGGGAAAGGCTTCCCCAGTGTATCGGCTCTGGCAGGACAGGGTCTTCCAGCTGGGCATGTTCACCCAGTGTAGCAGTTGCTCGGCAGGAGGTTTCTCGGTGAAGTTGCTACAGTTCAGCTCTGCCAAGGGAAGGTTTTCCCGGCAAGTGTTACAGCCCTGCTGGCTCTGCTCTGCTCTGCCCAGGGTCACCTCTGCTCCATTGCCGCTGCAAAAGATCTTCACCCAAAGCTCATTGAAGGGGTTTATTGGGAGGGAAGGATCCAGGAGAGTGGCTGCCCTCTGCCAGAGTGGCAGAGTGGCAGAGGGCAGCCTGTTAGCACAAACAGACACAAGTTGAACAGACACAGGGTTTATATAGGGCTTCCAGGATGGGGATTGGTCAGGTTTTAGTGCTGAGCTCAGATTGGCTAGAGCTCTGTTCAGGGATTGGTTAGTTTTCTGGACAGGATTAGGGTCAGATCTGGCTCTGGTTTCAGGGCCAAAGTGTGTTTCTTTCTCTGGTCCTTTTCAGTTTTTTGGCTTCAATTTTAGGGCCAGGGTACATTTCTTTCACTGACGCAGATTCCAGGGACAAAGTATATTCCTTTGGCACTGGTTTCAGGGTCAGGGTACATTTCTTTGGTTCTGGGTGCAGGGCCAAAATGTGTTTCTTTGGTTCTGCTCAGGGTGTGGTTCTTTGACTGGCCCCTTTTCCCTACGGTTGTGAGCTGCTGGGTGTGGATGCTGGGAATTGAACTCAGGTCCTCTGTAAGAGCAATGTGTGCTCTTAACTCCCCAGCCTCACTGATCTACTTTTAAAATAAATACAAATATAATAAACAAAATGTGTATAAAAATGCAAACAGGCACTTCCATTTCACATTTTTTCTTTAAAATTGTGTGTGTGTGTGCATTTGAGAGGGAGTGTACTATGTGTGTGAGGTGTATGTGTACCTATGTGTGTGTGCCTATGGGAGGGTGCTTAGAGAGGCCAGAGGAAGATGTTGGGTGTCAGGTATTTGGTTCTATTACTGTCTACTCACTCTTTCTGAACCTGGGTCTGTCACCGAACCTGAATCTGGGCTGGGCATCTAGAAGGACTCAGAATTCTATTCTCCCTCAGCTTTCCAGGGCTAAGATTACAAGTTTAAACGGAGCTAGGGTCCAAACTCCGGTCCTCATGATTGTGTGGTAAGTGCTCTTAGAACCCACTCAGTCACTTCTCCAGCTTCTCTGGTGTTGTGTCCCAGGCATCCGAATATTTGGTGCCCAGTTAGTGGCTGTTTGGGGAGGATTTAGGAAGTGTGACCTTGATGTGTCACTGGGGATGGGCTTTGAATTTTCAGAAAGACTCCATTTTGAGTGTACTTTCTTGTTGTGGGATTTTGTTTTTGTTTTTGTTTTTGTTTTTCGAGACAGGGTTTCTCTGTGGCTTTGGAGGCTGTCCTGGAACTCGCTCTGTAGACCAGGCTGGTCTCGAACTCACAAAGATCCACCTGCCTCTGCCTCCCGAGTGCTGGGATTAAAGGCGTGTGCCACCAATGCCCGGCTGTTGTGGGACATTTTGATCACACTCTGTGACACTCCTGAGACTGACAATAAAGTTTACCTGGAATCAGAGGGTCCAGCTAGCTACAAGCGGACCACAATTAGCCAGAGAGGTTTTGGAGGACTCAGGACATACAGAGAGAGAGACACACACAGGAAGTAGTGGGGAGGGGCTTAGGAAGATTCGTGGGTCCTTTTCAGATGGAGGAAGGAGAGAGAGAGAGAGAGGAGGTCACTTGTTGCTTCTCTGCCACTTCTCTGAGCAATCAGGTTTTTACTCCGATATCTGACCCCCGAGTTTTATTCAGTATTAGAACAATATAAGTAGTCATTTATCTGGTGTACAGCGTGAGGTAGGAGACCATGAGGCAGTTGCTCACTGCTGGCTCTGTGATTTACCCCGTGCCCTTGCTTCCTGCGCCTCCAGCCTGTCAACCTGAGTCCATTTTTCAGGCTGCTTGCTACCTCTCCCTGCGAGTTGTAGGCTTTCCTCGGATCCACTCCCTGGGCT